AGGGACACCTGGACAGGTCTCCAGTCCATCACAGGGACACCTGGACATGTCTCCAGTCCATCACAGGGACCTGGACAGGTCTCCAGTCCATCACAGGGACACATAGAGACAAACGAGACAAACAACCATTCTCTCACTCACCTAGAGACAGATTAGAGTCACCATCAGCCTAACGTGCATGTTTTTGGTGTGTGGGAGGAAACCGGAGCACCTGGAGGAAACCCACACAGCACGGACAGAACATGTAAACTCCACCCAGAAAGGCCCCCGGACCGGGATTCAAGCTGCTGGCTTTCACAAACTGTGGCCCACTGAGCAGTTTTGCTGAAAAGCCCTGATCTAGAACCTGCAGGACGGTGGCCCTTTGAGGACCAGGACTGAGGACCACTGATCTAGATTTGCTTATGAGTTTAAAAATATTTCAGGATTTGGGGTTTCTGAAATTCTGATCTCTGAAAACACAGAATCAAAGTGTCCGTACCTTGAAGCGAGTGCTGGAGCGCTCCACCAGCAGCAGCTGAAGATCTTCTTGGGTCTTCATGTCCTCGTGGGTCTTCAGGATCTCGTGGGTCTTCAGGGCCTCGTGGATCCAGTGAGAGAGCTTCCCTCGTCCTGCTCCGAACTCCACAAAGCAGCGTCCACGCCTGAGCAGCCCCAGATCCTCCAGGTGACCCAAGATGGAGGTCTGAAGAGACGAGACAGGTCAGACAAGGACGCCATCACATGCTCCGCCTCCTCTGAGGGGCGGGGCTCATGTTGTCACCAAAGGAATGACATCACTTCATCTGAAGGTTTGTTAAATTGTTTAGGAACCACATTTCTGCGTGAGCAGATAAAATAATAAAACATTTAAAAACACGAGTTACTGATCTCACCTGCTGCTTCAGGTGTTTGTGGGCGGAGTCTCCATTCTTTGGGTTGGTCAGTTCATCCTGGAGGACGAGGTGAGACAGAATCTTGTCCTCCACGTCCCATTGCAGTCCTAAAACAACAAAATGGACAAGAAGAGTTTAAATACAGAAAATCTGACCAATCAGGAGACTGTTCCACCAGAGTCCTGGTCCAGGTCCAGAACCCAGATGTTCAACAGTCTAAGGTCTGATCCTGCTGCTGGTTCTGGTCCAGGGAGAGTAAAAAAAGCAGAACCTCACCCTGAACAGCTGTCTTCAATTTGTCCACCAGAGACTCCAACTCTGCTCTGCTGCGCTCAGAGAGACCCACCTGAAGCACACAACTTCATCATCTTCATGTTTACAATGATCATCCTCATTCTCACCTTCATCCTCATCATCACCTTCATCATCCTCATCCTCATCATTACTTAAATCATCCTCATCATCCTCATT